GTTCAGCAGCCCGTAGAAGAAGGGGTTGATGGCAAAGGAGGAGTATGCAATCCAGGTGACCACCATCTCCCCGTGCCCACCACCCACCGTGTCAGTGGCAACAGAGGAGTGCAAGTGGAAAGCAAAGAAAGGCAGCCAGCAGCACAAGAACTGTCCCACAATGAGGACCAAGGTGAGGATGGCCTTGTTGCTTCCCAAGAAGCGCTCTGGCACGAGCCTGGGCAGCGGCAGGTTCCTGGTGGTGATGATGGTCATTTGGCTGGCAATGGAGTCGGATCGGTGCCTCGGCGCGGCTGCCTGTGCCGGCACGGGTGCGTGCTGCTGGGACGCCATGCGGGCCACGCGGTAGACTCTGGAGTAGACAGCCAAGATGATGATAGTGGGCAGGACGAAGCAGACAATGCTGAAGATGACCACAAAAGCCTTCTTGTGGGCCCCAGGGCTCCAGTAGACTGTGCAGCGGCTGGCGCTGGTGGCCCCATTGCCTTGAGGCCAGCCCACCAGTGCCAAGACAGTGATGAGAACAGACTTGACCCAAATGAAGATCACTCCAGCTACTGCCAGCCTGATGGTCATCTTGACCTCATACCTCATGGGATGGACGATGTAGTAGTACCGCTCCACGCTGATGATGGAGATGGTGAGGATGGAGGCACTGATAAAGCAGACGTTAAGGAATATCAAGCCCTGGCACTCGGCAATGCTGTAGATCACCCTGTTGAAGCAGGAGGAGCTGGAGATGATCCCCACGGGCATGAGGAAAATGGCAGAGAGGAGGTTAACCACACACAGGTGGCAGACGAAGATGAACTTCCTGAGAAGGGGGGTTTTGAGAATGACGACCATCACCACGGTGTTGGCCACCAGGGCAGTGAGGGTGAGGATGACCATGCAGAGGAGGCCCACCACCTCCTGGCCGATGGACTGCTCGGGGACGAAGAGTGGCTCTGGGCTGTCCGTGGTGTTCAGCCCCGTTCGGATCGCCATACCCCCAAGGGCTAAGCCAGCAGCTCCGGTCCCTGGGCAACAAGGGCTCTTCTCCCGTGTCCCTTAGAGGGAAACCCCACCACAACCATGGCCACTGTCTTCTCCTTGCCTGCTGGGAAGGAGACCAGGGCGTGAAGGAGAAGGACCAAAATGAGGAAGAGCCGCAGAGAAACCTGGAGACGACCTGAACCCCTCTGAGACGCCGGAGCAGGGAGAAGTGCCTGGTAAGGCACCAGCACCTGCCTAGGTGGCCCCAGCCTGGCCAGGGATGGCACTGCCAGGACCTGCAGGCACCCGTGCCAGGCTGACACCCCACCCCTCTGCCCCAGCCGCACCACCTCGCCCCAAGGAGGGACAACACGAGCCCTCCTGCCCCATCCCTGCTCCTCACCCCGGCCACCAGGCACCCCTGGGCAGGTAGGGGGGACCCAACTCACCTGTGCTCCTGGGGCGGTGGGCGATGCTCACCTCCTGGCCGGGGGGCCTTCCTCAGCAGCGTCGCTCCCACAGCAGAAGTGGGGCTGCCAGCCTCCGTGGCAATGCCATGCTCCTGCTTCCCTACCCCCGTCACCCACTCATCATCGTGTTTGCCTGCAGCCCCAAGCTGGGGATGGCACCAGCTGTCACCCCCGGGCGCTGCCTGCGCTGCCTGCGCTGTCTGCGCTGGTGGCTGTCCCACAGGGACAGCTGCTGGGTCCTAACAGCCGGCGGGGGCTCGGGAAGGGAGGACTGGCATCCCCGAGCCCTGTGCTGCTCCATCACAGCCACCTGCTGTGCCAGGCCTGGTCCTTCTGCAGGGACAGCTCGGCCCTGAGGTGGCCAGGGCTCGAGGACAGACCTATGTGCTCCAGGGCATCCATGGGACACTGGGGTAGCCAGATCGCAGTTGCCCTTCCCTGGCACTCCAGGGACCCGGACACATGTTTTGGGGGGCACACATGAGCACGGAGAGGGGCTCGGCATGGGTGGCAGCCATGGCATGGCACCCAGTATGGCACCCGGCAGTTGCCCTCAGGATGGATGGAGGAGCCCCTCCACACCCTGGCGGGGCAGCACTTCACAGCATACCGCCTTGTCCTCTGTAGCTCTGACACCATGGTGATGGGCATAAGCCATTTACCTTGATAAGGTGACGAGAGCACCAGGCTCACAAAGCCACCAGCTTTCACCTGAAGGTTGCCAGCACCAGATGGCCCCTCCAGAGCCACTCACCGCCACCCTCACAGGGACCCACCACCCTTCCCCGCTCCCCACCTACCACATCAGGCAGGAGAGCACTGGCAGCGCTCGGTACGAGGCACGGTGGCTTTATTCATGGTCACAGCAGGCTCTGTCCCCAAGCCAGCCTGTCCCTTGCCAAGCCCCAGAGAGGCTGGGTGGGGTGGCCAGAGAGTCCAGACTACTGAGCTCCCAGCTGGTGCTGGGATGGGGTGCCCAGGCACCCTCAGAACTGAAGCTGGACGAGGTAGCGGATCCGGCACTGGCTTTCCTGGTAGATGAGGTACTCGCTTTGGCTGAAGGAGGAGTCCTTGTAGGTGGTCATGGGGATGGGCTTGCCCTGGGACACCAGCACCTTCTTGTCATCCAGTAGCAGCTCCTCATCTTTCGCAGGGTCTGAGTGAGAACATACCCCCCACCACCACGTCAAGCCCGAGATCTGACCTCTCTCCCCTGCCGACCCTGCCACCCCAGGTCCACAGACGTCAGACCCCCTCCTGCCCTGGGCTCACCCGGCTCTGTTCGGCCACAGGCCAGGACACTGTCATAGCCGGCAGGCGGCTGACACAGAGTGGGGTCATCGCAGGTGATGCGGTAGGGCTTGCCCAGGGCCACCTCCGTCAGGAACATGATGCCGACGTTCTTGGAAGTGCGGCCCACTGCCATAGGAGAAGAGGATGGGGTGATGGTACCAGCATTCCCATCTGGTTGTGCCCAGGCCACAGCAAGGAAGGGGCTTGGCAGGGGGCATGCGAAGGCAGCTGGGCTCCCTCCAACCCCGTGGGCCCAGGACCCTCACCATAGCAGGCTGATTTGCTGTTCTCAGAGGCAAAGTAGATGCCCCTGCCCACGCGCCCACCCGAGTGGGGCATGATGCGCAGCCCGCTCTTCAGGATGGCTGCAATCACCGCCACATTGGTGCCGTGCCAAAGCAGCCGCCGGTGCTCCAGGAGGGCGGTCTCATCCTGGAGAGGTGCAGAGCTAACGGTTGGCCATGGAGGAAGATGTGGGTGCCTGGGGGTGGGGAACTACCACCTGAGCCCCCCAGCCCAACCCAGTGCCCCAGGAGGGCAGGGATGTGGGTGTCCGTTTGCTACCGGTCAGCTGGGCTGCAGTTCCCCTCCGGGTGGAGAAGCACAGAGCCCTAATGCAGTCCTGGGGTGCAACTGGGGCTTCCCCACTGTGGGACAGGGGTAATCATCTCCTTATTCTCACCTCACCATTTCGGGCCACCTGCCAGATGTTGAGGATGCGGAGTTTGTGCCCGGTCTGCGCCACGTAGTTTTGAATCAGCTGCCAGAGAGAGGGGGCAGGAAAGTGGTGTCACTGCAGGCAGCCATCCCTGCAGTGCTCACAGTGCCCCTGAACAGTGGGGACCTCTGGGGTGCCCACAGGCCTGGCACAGCTGCTCCCCATCATGGGGCACCGTGGCACAAGTGGCACCTGGTATTCCCGGGAAGCCAGGTCCAGCAGGGAGAGCTGGCAGCAGAGCAGGCTGTAACGCTGATCCAGCGGATGCGTGACTTCCTCCTCTTCCTCCTCCTTCACCTTCTGTGCCTGCAAGCTCTGTGCCAACTCGATGTCTGCCAGCACCTGGCAGGCACAGATCGGGGACATCCTCATCACCAGCGCCCGGGGGACCAGGGCAAGCCCAGGCTCCTGCCAGCAACTCCCTGCCCCACAGGCAGGAGCCTTCCTTGGGGATGGATGCCACCCGCCAAGTGCCCCAGCATCTCACCAGCAGCATGTCCTTCTTGGCACGCAGCAGGTCAGGGGAGTTTATGGGGGGTGGTCGTGTCCGCCCAAAGTTATGGGGGATGATGGTGTAGAAGCGGGAGGAGAGGTCCTCCAGACGGGGAGTCTGAGGGGGCTGTTCCTGCAGCACTGCCTCCAGCTCCTCCAGCACCTCAAAGCCCCTTGCAATCTGCTGCTTGCTTAGCTTCCCCAGTGGCATCTTCTTCACATCTGGATGGGGGGACAGAGGAGGGTGCAGGTGAACCCACTCCCCCCAGCTGCAGCCCCCAGACTCACCCTATTCCACCCATCACCTCCTACCGATATTCATGGTCTGCATGGCCTCCTGGAACATGTCATTGCTGAAGATGAGGGACACCAGGTCCTGCGTGGCTTTGTCCAAGGTACAGGGCAGCACCCGCTGCTTGCAGACCTTGTCCCCGTCCACACCATCCACCTGCAGACCCCAACATCACCACCCCATCTGTGAGCCCGCAGGAGGCTGCAGGGGCACCGGGGTTGCCCATCTCCGTGGGGGGAGCCTGTCTCCAGGCAGCAGAGTGACAGGCAGATGCTGCCTCCACTTTCCATGACTGATGCTGCCCAGATGCCCATGGTTCTCGCTTGGGATGCCCTCCCACTCCATCTCAACCCATTAGCCCCAAATCTCTGCCCATGGACTGTTTCAGCTTGCACCCAGACCCTTCCCAAGACCCACCCCATCCTGCTGACCTACTTGGATGTCCTGGTGCCCAGCGGGCCAGGGGTGGGATGTGAGGACAACCACAATGTGGTGACACCCTAGTTGCCCAACACACTGACCTTGAGGACAGCCTCCACCTCCTGCTCAGACCCTGGCTGCACCTCGATGAGGGTGTACTTGCCCGGCTGGGTCACAAAGTTGTCCCTAGCTGCCCATTTGTTCTTGGTCTTCTCCCAAAACTTCTTCTCAAAGTCCTTCTTGGCGGTGTCCAGGGAGGTGGAGGGCATAAGCTTGGATTGGCCCGCTTCCCCCTGGCAGTGGGCAGCAGTGGTCAGGACCCCCCTGCATCCCTGCTCCACCAGCCCCGTGCTGGGCGCAGTAGCCTTGCAGCAAGGGGGCCACAAGGGCAGGGCTGTGGGGCAGCAAGAAGGAATCTGCTGAGCCCCTAGCACCGGGTCTGGGGGTCTCTCCAACTCAGGGAGACACCCCTGGGCTCTTTGCTGGGGTTCCACGTTCACAGTCACCACAGTGACAGATGCCATGTCCCCCAGCCAGGCTGACCCTGTTGTGTGGGGGCAAGTCCTGTAAGCCCCCCTAACAAGGGGCTACAGCAGGGCCACTTGATTGCTCACGTGGGGACTGGAACAAGGGATGGGGACCACCAGGTCCATCCTTGACCTTTGAGGGTCCCAAGGCAGGGTGAGGACAGCCAGGGGAGCACATGAGCGGTGCCAGGGTGGACTCACCACGCGGCCCCAGCGGATCCAGATGCTGTAGGCACCATCGTTCTCGAGGAGCTGCATGGTGTAAAACTTGTTGTTGTTGGCGCTGATGTTGGTCTGGTTCAGGGTGCAGTCATAGTCCTCGTAGACCTACAGTGAGTGGCATGGCTGGGGCTGGCACCCAGGCAGCATTTGGGGATTGGGGGTAGGGGCAGCTCTATCTCAGCAGGGACGCAGGTCTCCAAGGAAAATTGAGGCTGCCCCTGTGTCAGCAGGGCAGGGGTTGCCCTGGAACTCCCCATCCCTCCTGCCCTCATCCTCCCATTCCAGCCCCTCTGGGTACCCCAGCCCCAGTCTCACCTGGGCGCCTGGCACCGTGCTGAGGGGGCACAGCCTATCGATGGTGGCAGGGGGCTTCTCCGTGGGGGCAGTTTTCAGGGCTGCCAAGGTGGAGTTCCAGGTGTTATCCTTCTCTTCCCCCTTGGCTTTCTTGCCACTGCCATGTGGCTGCTTCAAGTGGGACGCATGGCGCTTGGAGGCCATGGCTGAGCCACTCCCGTGGGGCCAGGTCAGCCTTATTTCCCCAGCAAAATCCCTGGGGAGAGCAGAGCAATATGTGAGAGACACTGAGCCACCCTCCTGGGAAAGTCCACCTGGGCTGTGCCTCGCTTTCCCTATGCCTCCAGGCCATGGCCAGGCTGGAAAAGGGGATGGGACCTTCCCCCTGAAATGTCTCAGCCTTGTCCCTCTGCTCAAGGTAGAGGGCAGAGCCCCTTGGCACCCTCCTGCTCCCAGGGGAGCCCAGAGGGGAGACACAGCCCAGTGACGTGGAGCCAAAGGGGAGCGTGGCGGGGGGCACAGCCATTTGCACAACACACTGGTCAGAATTGCTGGAAGAGGACGAGGGGCTGCTGGAGAGGCAAGGGGAGCCTGGACAGCCCTGCCCAGCCCCCACCACCCCTCACCAGGGTCCCACAGGTGTATGTACCCAAAGATCCTCCTGCTTTGTGCCCCTAGGGGCATGCAGGAGAGGAAAGCATGCAATGCCAGCCCTAAACAAGCAATGCCCTTCTCAAAATCCTCCCCAAGCCCAGGGAGACAGGGCAAGGGCATGGTACTTTGATTTGAGCATGGGGAGGGGTGCTTGGGCAGCCCCTCATCTCATGTGCCTCCCCTGATCCCAGCTGAACAGGGGGTGCTGGGGCAGCAAAGGGAGCAGAAAAGCGGGGACCAGCCATGTCCTACCTGCTCCTGCTGCCCAGCACCCCACCAGGGAGTCTCCCGGAGCCTCCGGGCAGGTCAGCACCCTGCCAGGAAATGAAACTTTTTCCCTAGTCAGGGGCAGGGAGCAGCCAGGGATGACAGCAACAAACAGCTGGCACGCCCCAGGGCAGCGCATGCACCCTGCAGGCAGCGCCTCCTGCCTGTACAGCGGTCCCTGGACAAGGGGTGACCCTGCTGCCCATACAGCCAGCTCCCCTCCGCCGTGCTCTGGGACAGCGGAGACAGTCCTGAAAGGGTTAAAGCCGGTGTAATTTTGCATATTAAATCTCTTTTCTTGGGTCCCTGCCAAGGAGGTAGGGCTAAGGATCGAGCAGGGAGAAGGACCCAGACACTGACATTTGAACACGTTTTGAGGGGTTTGCAGCCATCGCTGCCTTCTCCTGCCTACAAGCTACTTTGCTGTAAGAAGCATATGTTGGGATGAGTGGCGTGGGCAGGAGGCAGAGCTGCCTTTCCTGCTGGGGATGTGGAGGGAACGATGCTGCTAGAGCCAGAGCATCGGTGGCTTTGTAGCTCCCAGGCTCGGCCATGTCAGCCCAAGGTAGCCCAGGTAAGGGGACAGCCCCGTGTTCTCCCTCCGGGGCAGAAAAAGTGATTTAGCTTTACCGAGGCAGGTGCTGCCCGAAGGGACTGTAGCCCACAGAGGAGCCTGTGCCAGGGTGGGCAAGGTGAGGAAGAAGCAAGGAGCAGCAGGAGGAGACCAGAGACTCCCACTCCGTGTGCCACTTGCTGCCCACTAAGGGATGAGGAAGGGCTGGATGTGGGGTGGCCAGAACATGGGGAGTGGAGAACACGAGCAGGGGGAGAGGTGACAGCTGACATGGAGCCTGGGGAAGGAAAGGTGCTTTACCGAGGGTTCCCTTCTCTTTATGTCTTCTTTGCTTCTCCGTAGGTAAAAGGGCCCTTCCACGGACCCACCACCATCTCCAGAGGTTTCCCACTTCCCACTTCTATAGTCAATGGCTCAGTATCCAAGTGGAAACCAGTAAGGCGTGGTGTCCCTCAAGCGTCTGTGGTGGGAGCAGTACGATTTATTATCTTCAACACAGTGGGATTGAGTACCCTCCCAGCAAGTTTTCAGGTGACACCAAGCTGAGTGGTGAAGTTGATTTGCTGGTGGGAAGGGATGCCAGCCAGAGGGCCTCTGGCGATCCAACGGAGTTGGGGTTGTTCAGCCTGGAGAAGAGGAGGCTCCGGGGTAAACTTACATGTAAACAAAGACGGAACTCTTTTACCAGGGCCTGTAGTGACAGGATAAGGGGTTAACAGTTTAAAACAGAGAGGGCAGGTGTAGATTGGATACACAGAAGGAACATTTTACGACGAGAGCGGTGAAGAAAAGAGGGCAGACACCCAGCCGGGAGCCCGGCCCCCGCCCATGGCGGCAGAGGCCCCGCCGTCCTGCACTGCAATGGGAGGCAGCGCTGCGCCTGCGCGCCGCCCCGAAATTTCCAGGCGGCGGTCGTGGTGCTTGTTGGGTAGAAGACGGGCGGTCTCTTCGGTGCCATTTTGTCGCGAGGGAGCGAGGAGCCGCGCGCCTGTGTTTGGCGCCTTGTGCTTGCGGATTGTGGACGGCGAAATGGGTTCGGACAAGCGGTGAGCGTGGGGGAGGGGAGGAGGAGGAGAGGGAAGGAGG